TTAAATTGTATGAAATTATCTCGAAAAAAGCACAAACACAGCTGAGGGTGACGCTAACAGACAGAAGACAAATGACAATGCAAACGACTAGCAGTGAAAGCAGAGGCAATCCACATGTCACTCAAGTGGCCACGCCCTTAATTATGCACGCCCTTTAAGGCTTAATATCATTTAAACGGATAAGTTGTAAAAAAAAATTACCCCCCTCACAGTCGTCATGAAGGGCAAAATTAGCAATATAGAACAAAACAACTATTTGCCACCAGGCTGTAAACGTTTTTTTTTTTTTTTTTCTGCTGTGAAGTAAGGCATTTTTTTAACATGGGGAGATACAGGTGGTCCTAAACTCATTACTGATGAATGGCCTGTGCTGTAGCACAGCATTTAAAGCTGTGACTCTACTTAACCAGTGTCCCCCAAAAGAAAATCTGAGAGAGTCACTTTCCTTTATAAGTCTTTTATCTCTGTTGTAAGTTTCTGAAGAAATTAAGCACTCACAGCCCAAATGGTTAACACCTCAACAAGCTGGCCCAGTTTAATGACGTGGGGAATGGCTGCTTCAGAGTAGCAAGCAGACTGAGTAGGAGCTGAGCAACCATGTTAACTTCTCTAAAGTTCTTTTTGCTTTTCCTACACTCTTTTCTCCTGTGTGCATGCTTACCACAGAATAACAACTACCCTATCTCTTAGGACATGTACGTTTCTGTTGGTAATCTGTGTTGACCTTAAAGGATGCTGCTGCAATGTTTACGCTTGCCTTAACATCAGAGTCTCTTTCCCATGTAGCTAACCTGTATAGGTTACTTTGCAGGGTTCTAGTGGACCATGTGACTTCTAAGAAATGCAATGCTTTTCTATGCTCTGACAAGAGGCCATAAAACCATATGCAAACTAGTGGACCATTGTCACCTAGCACCTTCTCTGAGGTGTCAGCTATCCCGCTGTGTGAGACCAACCCGATCTCACGACCAAGTCGTATGTATTCGACGAATGATTAAAAAGTGGCTAATTCGTAACAATTCATACGACCTCACTCGTACGAATTAATACGATTTTGCTAAATCGTACATATTTTACGAATTGGCCAATTCGTATGAATTCGTACGAATGACCTACCCCTGACCCCGCCCCTAAACCTAACCATCACGTGGGTTTAGACAAATCGTACGAATTAGTACGAGTGAGGTCGTACGAATTAGTACGAATTAGACACTTTTTAATCATGCGTCAAATTCGTACGAATTGGTCGTGAGATAGTGTTGGTGAGACTGACAAAACCTTTCTTTGTACTCACTCATCCTATTCATCCTTCTTTTGTACACAATTAGTGATCTTTGACCAGTCCATGTTTGGTCCAACAATGTTCTTTAACACTCTTAGAACTCCCTCTCTCAGTTCGTCTTTTCTGGCATGTTGCAGTTCAGAAGTAACAGCAGACGCAAAACTGTTGAATTCAGATTCAGTTAGAATTTGTGACATTAGCTGTGTGACTTCTGCCAAGTACATGTCGTAGAGATGCATTTTGCTGATCAATGCTCTTCTAAATTCAGAAAAATTTGTGCATGCTAAGGATAAGCTCTGTCTAAGGATAAGTCTTTCTATATCTCTAGGTCTTAGTGCTTTGGCAACAGTTTGGATTTGGACATTAACAGACAGTTTGGGAGAAACACTTTCTGTCTCCTCGATTCCCTGCAATCTTTTCCTAGCACCACACACATTGACTGAATTTACACGCTTATCAGTTACTGACTGGATGTCTACATCTGTTTCAAAGAACACTTTTAAGTCAGGATAAGTTTCATCTGACTGTTGGTTTTCTGAGTCACATTTGGTTGAGGCCTTGTTATGGCCCACCTTAATGTGCAATTGTTTGTTCTGTTCTTTTAATTTAGATTTACACCGAGCTTGTTCTTGTGCAATGGATAAGCTAAATTCCATGCAACGGAAAATAATGCCTTTTCTGTTTACCTTCCTGATACATACCTAACACCTTTTTGCATTCTTCAATAGACCATACTTTTTCTGGGTGAATACCAAATTTCCTTGTCAAATTCAATCTGACTGACAGTCGCTATGGAGTCCGTGCTCTCCTAACAATGACTTGAACTCACTGTCTGTCCATACAGGGCTAGCTAGTTCACCTTTCTCAGTTGATGGAACCAGCCTAACATTTCTTCTAACCATTTTGTAATGTTTCTTTGTTTTCACACAATCAAAAACAGTTCAACTATTGTTATCCTTCTTTGGCAGACCAAAGGATAACACAATATTACTAGCACTTTACGCTAATCTTCCTTACCTGAAACGGAAGATAAAACTAAAAATTAGCATGTAATCCTAACCTTCTCTGTGAACAGAGGATGAACAAAAAAAAACCAAATAAATAGCAATGCAAATCTTCCCTGCCTGAAACAGAGGATCACCAAACATTAACGCGTAATGCTAATCTTCCCTGCCTGACAACAGAGTATCAACTTTCATCTCTAAAATAAAATTTTAGAGCATAACATAACCAAACTCTACAGCTGTCTGTTAAAATTTCTCTGGTGGCGCAGAGGAATGACAATGTTGTACTGGTCTTCAGTCTCCGCTAGTTGTACGGAAAGATTCCGTCTGGAACTCAGTCAGAAAAGTTTGAGGCAAAATTTCCCTGGGCACCTATGGTCGTTTCTCTACAGAAAGAGGTAGCCTCACTGCAAGCTAAGTGAATCGATTTAGAGAGCTGTTCCCGCAGATCCAATCTTCGCTTTGTGGGAATTCCGGAAGGTTTGGAAGGCCCACAACCTTTGAATTTTGTGGCAGATGCTTTGGTGGAGATATTTGATTTGCCTGAACCTCCACTCCTTGCTCGCACACATTGTACACTTGCACTGAAACCTGCGGAGGAAAGCCGTCCACAAGCCTCTGGAATTTGCTTCCATCGCTACGACATTAAGGAGGATATTTGGCGGAAAGCGAGCCGGGGTGGGCAGCTTAGGCCAGGTTTCGCGCTAGGGTTTTTTTTCTTCATTATTTTCCATACTTATTGTTCCTTGCATAACTATTTAGATTTTACAATAATATTTTTGGTCTTTCTCCTTTTTTTTCTTCAAATGATGGGTGGTAGGGCTAATGAAGATGGTTTGGTTAGATGGGTTATCTGGATCTGTAAAGGTTTGAAAAATCCAGTCAAACGCAAGAAGGTTCTGATTCATCGTAGGAAACTGAAAGCCAGTTTTGTTTTTCTTTAAAATCACCTCTGTTCTTCAGACCATTTTAGATCAAAAAAAGACTTGGGTGGGTTATCTAGTCTATCATTCACAACTTAGTCCAGGGGCTGTGGCATTCTGGTACATAAATACATTCCGTTTGCTGTATCACTAGTAATTGCAGATCATTATAACAGGAACTTTGTTTTCAATCCCCCTAATTCTTGCTAATGTCTATGCCCCAATTATGATGATGTTTCCTTTATCACCTCTTTTTTTACAATGTATACCTGACCTTCATTCTCATTTATTAATCTTGGGAGGAGATTATAACAGTGTGATGTGTCCACGACTTGATAGGTCATCAAAAAAAAGTTACATCTCTTTCTAACTGTACAGCGATTGGTCAGTTATCACTATCCATCACAATCCATCTTTCAACCTTTATAAAGAATATCAGATTTTGCATACTGGTATCGACTGAAGAGGCTGAGAATTTGTTTTTACAAGCTCAACATAGGATCTATGAGTTTTTTGATAAGATGGGTAAATTGTTAGCTTATATTCATAAATCGTAGATGTCACGCTTGATACCCCAACTTAAGTTACCTTCAGGAATTACTACCACTAACTATAGAAAAAAAACACAACTAAATTTAAACAATAATGTGGAAATTTGTACACCTCTGAATCACCTCAAGATGTATCTTTAATACTTTTTTGGATAAAATCGATTTCCCCACTGCAGAGAAAACGTGGGGAAAAGTTATTTTTTTGGATGAGGATATTTAAATTGAAGAAAGCTGATGCGATTGCATCCTTGAAAACAGGCAAGGCCCTGGGTCCTGATCTGATTTTTATAAAGCATTTTGTTGCTTTTTATAGAGTCAAAATTCAGAAATACTCCCAACCTTCTATCAAGCAACTATTTAATAAATTTTTAAGAGAGATAAGAATTATGTAGATCGATATCTAAAAGTTTTTTTTATCTTTCTTCTTCATATATAATTTGAATAAAATGGCATCAATAAAAATAACTATAGGTTAGCTGATTACCCAAAATTAAAAAAATTCTGTCATCCATCATACAAATATTAATTTCTGATGCTCTCGTGAACGTGGGTTGGTGATTAATATTTTGTAAATAAAGTGGTAAATTGTGTTCTTTTGCACAAAGCACTTGCGTCACTATATAATCGAGGTTAAACCATTGGAGTCACATGGATTATGCTTTTATGATGTAGTTGCATAGGATGTCAATGGAGGAACAGAAAGCGTTCAGATTTCAATAAATAGATCTTCATTTGTGTTCCTAAGATGAACGCATGTCTGGCAGATTTGAAATGACATGAAGGTGAGTAATTAATGACCAGTATTTAAATTTTTGGCTGAACTAACCCTTTAAAGGTCCATAGATTTAGATACTGGCAGTTTGCACTGTACTTTCTCTGACAAGTGGATACAATGAGACCATTTTCCTGTTTGTAAATGTAAAGTTCGATATAAAGCCTTTTTAGTTCAGAAAATAGATGTGTGATTAATCTGATGTTGCTTCTGTTTGAATCAAACATATTAATTTGCATCTATGATGTACCACTAGAGACCCTGACCTCGATTTACCCCCACAGGTCTGAGAGGAACATCCTGTCCACTGACATTTGAGCAGAGGGGCAGTGACCCACAGAGGTTCCAACCCCCCACATGGCCCTCCAAATTATTTATGCTACTAACATTTACACAGCACATTGCCTCTCTCAACACAAGCCTTTTTATGCTCCAGTGGGGGGATTTCATGGAATGAAAGAAGATGGATCTCATTACACAGGTTTGGATTTATTAGATAAAGTCTGGGCAGTATTGGCAATGTTCATTTGACATGTTTTTTTACATAACAGAAATAAAATTGTTACTTAAAGTCAAAGAAAAAGGGTGCAACTAGGATAGGTAAAAAACAAATATCGCTGAATGTTTTCTTTTTCCAAATGTCAGGTCAAATGCAATTAATAAAGCCGAAACAAGCTTCCATTCAGGTTCAAATTATCTTTGTAGGTTTTGTGGAGGGTCTCAATTCAGTCACCCCATGAGCAAAAGCACAGTCCTCACTGGGCAGAGGGCATCCGTGGGGATGGTGGGAGTAGAACCAACAGAGTCGGGTCTTCAAGGCACCTGAGGGAAGGGGTTTGTGCTTGGAGGTTACTCTAGGGCTTTGAGCTGATGTATGTGTCCTCCAGTCCCGAATAAAGACTCTTCCACCCTGCACTATGGGAAAAAAAAGACGAAGAGAGAAATGTCAGATATTATTGTCCTTACAATTTACCTATAAGAATTGAAATGAGAATCATATCAGATGGACATCAACCAAGGGCATCCTTTTGAAGGGGTTCGTATTAGCTGGTCTATAATGTTCACTAGAGTGTCATTTTCTTTGTAGCCAAGGAGGTCTAATTCTCTTATCCTTTTCAAGACACATTCACACTTCACTATGGATTCCAGTTCATCTTTCCAAATGTATTTTTTTTAAAGCACTAGCACATTTACATTGTCAATGATGTATATGTCAACAGCACTATAACATCAGTTATAGGAATCTGAATGAATGGGTGTGATTTAAAATACAGTTAAATAGAATAGTCAAATGTGTTGTTGAACTATTATACCAATAACCAATAGTCAATTAGTGTTGTAACCTAAATCAACCTAACCTAAAGTCAGATAAAAGTTTAATTGGAATAAAATTACTTTGCGCACTGAAAAGACATGCAGGTAACCTTTACCAGCTCAATTGGAAACCATTGTTGAGCCAATTGGTTGGGCCTTACAAAGTGAATCTAAGGGTGGAATGTAAGAGTGGTTTCACTACAGTGGTTCAGGCTGCAGGATTGCTGAATGACAAAAGAAAGGTTACAAAATAAAATGTACAGTTGTACATTTCTTGTCTATTACCACCCACTGCTACTTATACCAACGATGAAAATAAGCGCAGTTACAATAGCAATATAATTATAGTATAAATATAATATCATTTGGTTAGGCGCTATACCAAAAATAGCCACCGGGTGACACCCATATTCCATTTATTTTTTTTATGAGTTCCCCAATCACAATATCACTTTCACAAAACAGTTGCCAAATATGGAACCTTGAGTCTCAGACCTCTCCAACAATGTTTTGAAAAAAAAATAAAATATATATATATATATATATATATATATATATATATATAAAAAATATATAAATATAAAATTATAAAAATATATAAATGAAGAGTTCAGATGCAAAAGCCTCTAAGTGCCATTTGAAATTTTCTTCTAGAATGATCATTTTTATCAAGCTTGTATATTTAAGTTCAGTGATTTCACTTAAATTGCAATGATAATTACCTATTAATTGTTATTTAAGTGAAATTACTGAACTTAAATATACAAGTTTGATAAAAATCATTATTAAAGAAGAAAATTTCAAATGGCATTTAGAGGCTTTTGCATCTGAACTCTTCAAATATAAAATAGTAGATCTATTAGGATTTATTTTAAATGTGCCTTAGAAAAAAAAAAACATTACAAACAACCAAGTCTTGTCAGTTTAAACATCAAGTACAAGAAAACTGGAACGTGCGTGCTGTTTTCTGTCAGCCTTAAGGCGTATTTTTGTCCCGCCAAAGCCTTATTTGACCAGTTCGTGTTTATTTGACACAAACAACGCTGGCTTATCTTCTCTGAAATGCTTTCCACACATTCAGATGACAAACTACACTTTCAATAAACAACACGAACTAATGAACCGATTCACACGAATTCCTTTGAACCGATTCACTTCGAATGGTTAAAACAACTGATCTGTCCAACACTGAACTCAAGAGACATAAATCGGAAACACTTTTAGATTCAATATTAGATTCTATGCGGATTTACTCCATGACAAAACCACCTCAGTCATTCTAATAAATCATTCTTTCCAAATAGAGCTATTCAAGTCATCTGGTGAATTTTTTTTTATATCGCAATGTAATTTTTTTTTTTTGACAAATATTGTGCAGCCCTAATCCTTGCTATGTGTTTTCTATACAGAGATATCGACATCAGTAAATATCGGTATCGGTCATAACAGCAATATTAATATCGGTTATCGGTATTGGCCACAATTTTCACATCGGTGCATCACTAATTTGCATTGTACTAAAAACATACTCAAGTCAATTTTTAATACATATTTCACCTGAGTTATAACATAAAAAGAAAATTAAAGATTTGAATATTTAAACAATCTGAGTAATTTTGTTTTTCAATTACAAGTTGCCTCTATTTAGGGCATGACCATAGATATCTATATAAAGGCTGGATATGTCGTCCACGCTGCTGGCCAATGGAGGTCGACGTCTGCACCTGGCGGCCATCTTGTCACAGGCAGCTCGCTCACTCGTAACATTGTGTTAATGGTACATGTACTATTTAAATGACCATAACTTGCTCAATTTTCTACAGATTTTCAAACGGTTTGTTTTGTTATAAACGTCAGAGATGTAGTTATGACACTGCATACTTATGAATAAAAAGTGTATAAATAATCATCCAGATAATTATAGCCATGTTAATAACGTTTGTAAGAAACCAAACCGTTTGTAAATCCGTCAAGATTTCCACGAGATAAGAGTATTTGTGTTCGTGCTGACCACTCATCTTACATCAGCTTGTCTGTGACAAGATGGCCGCCGGTGATGACGATGGAAACTCCGCCGTAACACATCTAGCCTTTATATACATATCTATGGGCATGACTACCTATATCACACTATTTGATGCCATTGGTACAGTATAAGACAATCAATATTCTTGCTTTGGCATCCCATGTTGAGCTCCATCATATCGCCGCGATGATATTCCTCCGATCTGAAGTGAACGTTAGACACGTTTTTGCACCAGGCACGAAAGATAGATAGCACAGTCCTTTTTTTTTTTATGGAAACCTGTGGACTCGATGTCCTGACAGGCTGGAGTTTTTGCAACCTCCACAAACACAATAATTTACCATGACGATGATAAATTAAAACACAAAAACTACCGAAAACACACTGACTTATGACCCCTCTGACTGAATACCAGCCTATTCTGCACTGAGCTGAGGCTCCCTGTCATGACGTAAAATAACGCGATGTTGAAAAAAAAGCCATTTTTATGAGCAGTCCAAGAAATGCTAACTTTATCTACTAAATTAGTGCCCTTATGTTGTTTTAACACATTTTAAATGCTGCATTAACTTTTCATAGGTATTTTCATTAATTTAGAATTTTTTATTTATTTTTTACCTGCAATATGCTCTTTAAAGTTTGCGTAGAGAGAACTTAAGAGTTTTCTGTTAAAACGGTGTTGGGTTAGCGGCCCCTAAGGTAATGTATTAAAAGTGCTCTAAGCGATGTCGGGTGACGTGACTTCTTGTTGATGTTTAATGTATTTTCAAACAAAACGGAGGCTAGATAGACCCTCCCTCCTCCTCATCTGCACTGACCCTGACTGTCCCAGGGCCTTTTTGCCTTATTGGCTGGAACAGTTTGTTATGTTTTGTGGAGCGGGTTGCCGCAGTTTGATTTGTTGCCCTTTGTGGAGCCTGGGTTGTCTGCATAGACCGCGTTTTTTTACAGTGCGTTTAGGGGACATGCAGCTAGCAGATAGTGAGGAGATGTTTGCTGTATGTGACAAAAGATGTTTCGGCCTAAAAAAACGTGTGACATCGCTTTAATGTTAATGTATAACATTAAACCGATGTAAAAATATAAAAACGTGTGAGCACCTTTGATGTTAATGTATAAATGTATTCAACAATATTATTGATTTGACTGCACTGACACTATTGGATGAGAACTGAACTGAGCTGGTTGATGACATCACTTTTTCTGCAGAACTGCTTTATAGATGAAAAGAACTAATTTAATAATAGATGATGTTTACAGTGAAACTGAATCATCGCTGAACTGACTTCAGTGGAAGAATTACACTATTTTATTTTAGGGCTGCTGTATAGACAAAAGAAACTGTTTGCATCATTGAATAATTTTCCTGTTATTACTGTAAAGCTGCTTTAAAACAAACTATATTGTATAAAACGCTATATAAATAAAAGTGGCTTGACTTGAGTGGGACAGGGCGAAATACCTCTGAACACCTGATGATTGTTTTTCAGTAGAGTCTGGAGACCACCACATTCATTCTTTAGTGCTTGGAAAGTAGACCGGTCCAGGAGGTTGACTACTTCACTAATCAACAAACTTCCTGAAAAAATAAAGCAAAGAGGGATTAGAAAACAGGCTAAAGAAGAAGAAAAGTTGGAGTAAGAAGAAGAACAACAACAAGAAAGGAGGAAGAATGGTGATATATATATACACAAATAGCATACCAATCATAGATACCAATTTTGCCATAATCGGCCAAACTTCCTGTCATCCATTTTTATTTTCTTAAACCTACTTTTTTAAACTCCTCCTAGGTAGTTGCTCCAACTTTTTTACTAAAACTAAATCAGATCATCCTCGCCAACAAGAAAACATGGAATTCAAGTACATTCGTCAAATCGTTCTCGAGTAACACATTAAACAAATTCAACGAAGAGTACTCCAAAATGGACGTGAGCATATATGAAGAGTTCAGATGCAAAAGCCTCTAAATGCCATTTGAAATTTTCTTCTTTAATGATGATTTTTATCAAACTTGCATATTTAAGTTCAATAATTTCACTTAAATAACAATTAATAGGTAATTATCATTGCCATTTAAGTGAAATCACTGAACTTAAATATACAAGCTTGATAAAAATGATCATTCTAGAAGAAAATTTCAAATGGCACTTAGAGGCTTTTGCATCTGAACTCTTCATATCTCTTTATATAGCTTAAGCATATTCTGACCAAACTTGGTGTGTGCTATGAAAACTAAGGGTGTGCGATATACATCGTCTGCGATATCATAATTGTTGTTTTAACAATGTGTGATCTGACATTATCAAGTATATCACTCACACATACACAGTGCATGCATACTCTACATGATTCAAGGTTCTCAAACTGGGGTACACTTACCCCTGGGTACCCGAGGTGACAAGAGGGGGCACGAGAACAAAATGCTGAGTTTTGGCCTTCATTTAAATGCATATCATCCAATCAAATTACCTCATCTTTTGTGGTCAAAACTGACTGCATCCACAAAAGCAGCATACTTATGACAGATTGGGTGCAGAGTATCTGCCTCAACAAATCGTGCTACATTACTGCCGTTCTCTAAAATGTACCTTTGTAAAAGTTGGGATTTAGCACATACTAGCATGAAGATCAAAAATAGTCATGCACAGACTGTGCATGGAGATCAATTTAAGATTCAAACTCTCTTCAATACAAAAACATACCGTATTTTCCACACTATAAGGCGCACTTCAATTTTCTCAAATAACGACAGTGCGCCTTATAATCCGGAGCGCCTTATACAGGTCCTTCTCAAAAAATTAGCCTATTGTGATAAAGTTAATGTAATGATAAAAATTAAACTTTCCTATATTTTAGATTCATTGCAAACCAACTGAAATATTTCAGGTGTTTTATTGTTTTAATACTGATGATTTTGGCATAGGCCTACAGCTCATGAAAACCCAAAATTCCTATCTCAAAAAATTGAAAAGGTTCTCAAAACGAGCAATTAACCTAATCATCTGAATCAACTAATTAACTCTAAACACCTGCAAAAGATTCCTGAGGCTTTTAAAAACTCCCAGCCTGGTTCATTACTCAAAACCGCAATCATGGGTAAGACTGCCGACCTGACTGCTGTCCAGAAGGCCATCATTTACACCCTCAAGCAAGAGGGTAAGACACAGAAAGACATTTCTGAACAAATAGGCTGTTCCCAGAGTGCTGTATCAAGGCACCTCAGTGGGAAGTCTGTGGGAAGGAAAAAGTGTGGCAAAAAACGCTGCACAACGAGAAGAGGTGACCGGACCCTGAGGAAGATTGTAGAGAAGGACCAATTCCAGACCTTGGGGGACCTGTGGAAGCAGTGGACTGAGTCTGGAATAGAAACATCCAGAGCCACCGTGCACAGGCGTGTGCAGGAAATGGGCTACAGGTGCCGCATTCCCCAGGTCAAGCCTCTTTTGAACCAGAAACAGCGGCAGAAGCGCCTGACCTGGGCTACAGAGAAGCAGCACTGGACTGTTGCTCAGTGGTTGCATGTCATTCGGAAATCAAGGTGCCAGAGTCTGGAGGAAGACTGGAGAGAAGGAATCGCCAAAATGCCTCAAGTCCAGTGTCAAGTACCCACAGTCAGTGATGGTATGGGGTGCCATTTCAGCTGCTGGTGTTGGTCCACTGTGTTTTATCAAGGGCAGTGTCAATGCAGCTAGCTATCAGGAGATTTTGGAGCACTTCATGCTTCCATCTGCTGAAAAGCTTTATGGAGATGAAGATTTCATTTTTCAGCACGACCTGGCACCTGCTCACAGTGCCAAAACCTCTGGTAAATGGTTTACTCACCATGGTATTACTGTGCTCAATTGGCCTGCCAACTCTCCTGACCTGAACCCCATAGAGAATCTGTGGGATATTGTGAAGAGAAAGTTGAGAGACGCAAGACCCAACACTCTGGATGAGCTCAAGGCCGCTATCGAAGCATCCTGGGCCTCCATAACACCTCAGCAGTGCCACAGGCTGATTGCCTCCATGCCATGCCGCATTGAAGCAGTCATTTCTGCAAAAGGATTCCCGACCAAGTATTGAGTGCATAACTGAACATAATTATTTGAAGGTTTACTTTTTTTGTATTAAAACACTTCTTTTATTGGTCGGATGAAATATGCAAATTTTTTGAGATAGGAATTTTGGGTTTTCATGAGCTGTATGCCAAAATCATCAGTATTAAAGCTACAATACCTAAGATTTAGATGCCGCTAGAGGGCGCTACATTCAAAACTACAACAACAACGGCTTTGTTTGATGACGACGTGGAGGAACACGGAATGATGGGAACTGTTGTTTTCAACTCCACCGTGGATAAATCAGTCAGACGGGAATCGAAAATTAGTTGTCATGGATGAGGTAAAGTTCGATTTCTATAAAAGTTGCGTTTAATGACATGCTTGTTTTTCATTAAACTGAAATAACCGCAAGAAAAGTCAGGTTTAAAAGTAAATTAGTTATCACAGATGTTACTGTACGAGTCACTGGACGAAGCTATGGTGGAATGTAAAGAGTTTTAAGAGTTTTTAAAACTGTTTAGCATATAATACTAGTATATGGGAGCAAATAATGAGTAAAAAGAAATCGCTAGTTAATACCACTAACAAGGCTCAAAATAGCCCCACACAAACACAGTTACATAATGAGGGTCCCTATATGCAAAACGAAGCATTGAGAACTTTGTAAGTGTACAGACCGTTTAATAAGAAAATACTTTATGAAGACAGTTCACTTCATGTATACAGGCAGGAGCCATCTTTGGAAAACAGTCTCGACAAGTCGAAGTGTTTGGTTCAGTGGTTCAGTTAAAGTGCCACGTTTTATTTTGTGTCACCGATACTTCTAACTTCATCTCTGCTTGGATCCTAATGAATGAACTGGGTTAAGCTAAGTGCTATCAAAGTGTCTCCGCACGCCAGAGCGATTGAGTGCAAGCACTGAGACGAGAGAGGTATGTATCAACTTGTCTTAGTTAAGGGAATAATATGATTTAATATGAAAAAACGGTGGAGTGTTCCTTTAAGCCACCCGTGTATCATGACATCCCAATGAAACATTACCTCCTGTATTCCAGGCATCACCGCAATCGCTGCTCTCCATGTCTCTCTCAGTCAGACTCAGCAATGCCTTCGCCACCCTCAGAACCACTGCATCCACAAAATCCCTTGGCAAAGCTGAACAGTTCCTAACAGCCTCTGTCTTTTCTCTTGGTTGAAAGCCATTCACCCAGTCATTCGCAGGGGTTGAAATATTCTGTCCATTATCATTGTGAGGTCCACGATTGTCACTTTGATTGACCCCTGAGCTTGTAAATAAGGCCTCACGCCCCCTGATATAATCACTTCGTCGTTCCTCTGCCATAGGCTCTTCAGCCTCGCTGTACATTCTTCCTTTCCCTATTATGCATACCTGAAAATGAGAATGACATGAGAATGAAAGTGAGAAGCTGCTTATGCGAGTGAATCTCACATACATTCTAGAGGCCTAGCTCCACAGACATTTGACCAACCTACCCGTTTGGTGGAGGGTATCCTCAGACAGTCCACCTCTGTGTGGAAGCCACACACTGTGCTGACATCAGTGATGAAGTCAATGTACTCCTTATACTGAGACTTCTTACATTGTCTGCGCTGGTACTTCCCACAGAAGTCAAAGAAGCAGCAAGGAAGCACAAAGTAGCGGCATGAGTAAGATGATCTAGGCGAGATAAACACAAATGAGAGGACATAGCAACAATCAATGCAAAAACATATAGATCTACAAAAAATATATTCTGTTTATATTTAGCCTAGTTTCAAAGACTACATAGTTCTCAGGTGAAGTCAGTTCTGTACTTGAACTAATCACAGTCAGCAAACATGTTTAATGAAAAGTTTGTCTCAGTTATAGTATAGGTCACTACAATAAAAAAAAAAATACATGTATATCTTTGCTTTACATGTTATTGTACACTCTGAGTACGCCCATATTGATAGGATAGCATCTTATGCTTTTTGGGAATCTGTATTTTAGAGAGAATTTTATACAATTAAAATAAGCTTTACAGCACTTTATTGGAAAGGGTTTAGAACAATGTTTTTTCCTTAAACTATAAACAATTAATCGCACATGCACCTGTGGAACAGTCTGTATGAATTTATACCTTCTGCTGAACACAAAAAAAAGATATTTTGAAGAAACTGCTCAATTCACATGGATTATTTTTACGAATTTTAATGAACTTTGAAAGGCGAAATTGGTAATTGGGTCAATGACGTATAAGGCCTTTGAAAGGCCCGTTTTTAAAATACTTGAAATAATAATATATTTGTCTATTTTCTAAACATTTGGAGTGTTGTCTACACATGCATGTGTGTGAAAACTTCAAACAAAGATATTTTAGTGCTTTTAAACTCAAATGAATAGGGCAATGACCTTAAAAAAAGTCATTTGGGGTGACCGTAATTTATCTTAAAATTAATAGATTTCCTTTACATAAGTTATGTTTTAAGAAGTATCAGTAATTAATTGAACTGTTTAAGAAAGATATACTCATGTGTCCTTTCATTTATTGCAAATGATGTTAAATACATTTTTATCTATAATGGCAGTGTCACCCTCATAAAGCAATTACTTATTTTTTTACTCATATAATCCATAAAACTGATTTAAAATGTGTAGATATAGTATCCACTTATTGATGTTATACCAATGAATTATATTTCAACCAAAATGGACAGACATAATTTTTTGAATTTACTGCAGAATTGAATATGGTTGGTTACCCCACATGACAAGTGGTCGCCCCACATGATGAAAAACAGCAGGCAATTAAGACTATTCAATGATTTTGATAGTTAAAACATATTTTAATGAAATTTTATGGAGAATCAGCATATTCCCACAATACTAATGCATTAAACGCTTGGACATAACATTGAAAAGCATTTTCCTCTTTCATTTTCATTTCATTAATCACTTAAACATACAATGTTTGCCTTTTCATTACTATTTTCATTTAACAGTTGAACATAGCAGCATTCTGCAGACACATTGAACAGCATTTTCCGCTGCCTGTAGCGAGCAGTCTTTTCTTTGCTTGTTAGTGGGGCCATCTAGAAAAAGTATATTTAAACATAGACAGAGTTAGAAAAAGAATTGGAAAAAGTAGAATGAATGCTTAATATTCACACATTTCTCTGATAAAAAACATAATAATCAAAAAGAAGTAAGCTTAGTCCTCTCTGAAGTAGGATGGAAATTATTGAAATTTAGAAAAAATATGTGGTGAACTGTAGAAAGTTATTTAAAACAACTAAATGCATATAATGAATGAAAACATTTGCATACAGAAACTACAAATACATGATGTGTGTTTTCTATCATTTAAGCAATCAGTGACGGTCGCCCCACATGATGCTCGGTCGCCCCAGATGATGTTTTCAAGATTAATCAAGTATAACAGGCTAATGCTTAGCTATAGAACCCAAGCTAGCTTCTTCTCACCACATATCACTGACAAATTTACAAATTTAAAAATAAAGATTTGCGTATAAAACTTATAATTTACAGTTTTAGGTTGGTCGCCCCACATGATATCAAAATGTGACGTATACACTGCAGCAGTTTTAAAGAGGATTTGTTTGTAAAAATGAGAGTGACTACTCACCTGCTAGTTGTCTCTGTGGGACCCTCACCATGAGGCTGGCTGATGCAACATCCTCTTTGAGATGATTATCAAAATATAAATTCCCTTATTTGTATTTTCTTGATGGTCACCCCAGATGATATTTCAGACAATGAACATCTTCGGACAAGATTTGTTTGTTTATTATGATTGAAATGTGTGTACACATGTTTCATAACTTTGTCAATCAATGGAAAACAAGTTTAAAATTATGCCAAATAGGGTAAGGATTATATTTAAATTATTTTAGTTTGATTTAAAACCAGTTGTCCAAGCAGAAAATGCCAATAAACCAATTATTTTTAAAGAAATAAGAGTGGGCATATGTATAAGGGAGGTGGTAGACATACATGTTATAATTTTATTCATTTTAATGTTTATTAATTGGTAAAAAGTTCAGTCGGACAGAAAAAGCAAGCGTCACGTCTTTGACCCAATTGCGTAGTTGTCAATGGAATGATGACCAGAGTCCCTGCTAGCCTGTGTGAACATGCCATAGGCTTGCTGCAGGGAAGCAATGAGGACTGCTTATTTTTAAATGCTTTTGATAATACAATATTTACAAGTTGAGACGTTTTCTGGAAGTAAAAGCAGCCGAAAGAGAGATGATATTTCATATTTTGCTGAGTTTATGTGACTGAATCCAAACTTTTGAAAGGTAGAGTATAAAAAATACCAAGAACTGAAATGATTAGTTTTACTCTTTTGTTGCAAGTTGAACATCAAATGATATTAATCTACAATACATAATGGGTCACTGTTAACCACAAAGAATTTTAAATGCTCATTTATTTACTAGCACTGATACCACAACCTGGCAAAATAAGCACATAATGAATTTTCTAATCACTTTAGATTCCTGTATTGGAAAGCAGGTGTCTTTTTAACACTAGTGCTAATTTTCATGACTTGCCTGGCAGCTATTACAGGGATCCATGGGGTAAGCTCATCTGAGTGGTTTCCAATCAGCCAGTCTGTGGTGGGAAAGAGGAAGCCATTGCTGGGTGTGATGGCATTTTCCTGAAATAGATGAGCATTCACATTTCATAATTGGCTGAAAGTCCAATGACACTGCGAGGCATTTGTGGGCATATCAGAGGGTTTCTTTATCTAATTTATCTACTTACTGAAAGTACATTTTGTAGCAAGAGTATTAAGTTAATTTTGATTACCATAATGCACAAGTATAATTTAAAATTGTAAGACAAGAAAAACTGGAAAAGAGGGCAACTCTCAGAGAAAACAAAGGAAATTAGCATTTGAACTTTCTCTTGAGAAACTAGCATCCCCATCAAAGACGGAACCACACTGAGTCAATCACCTCAGTATTGTATTAATTTATATCTCTTTCCCCTGACCCCCTCTTCCCCCATCCCTTCTCTCTCTCATACTGAGATCAACTGAAATTCACCCAAACATCTATATAGTTTAAAGTGAACAATTATCATACAACGCTATCAGCGCTTGACATTTGGTTTTCCAAAATTACTAGCCACACAACACTTTTACTAGCCACATTTTTGTTGTTGGAAAATTACATTTTATATGATTAGAGTTGACAATGGGGCTTAAAACTTGCTAAAATTTAATATTATCATTAGCTCTGATAAGGTTGTAAAGCTCCTTTTTTGAAAACATGATGTCTATTAAGATAAACACATAAAATAGCTTCTTATTGTACAGTGCCCTCCACAATTATTGGCACCCCTGTTTAAGATGTGGTCGAGGACTTTAAAAAATTCTCCCTTTTTTTTTAAACAACATAGAATCCAAATGCAAAAAAAGAGAAAAATCCAACCTTTTATTTAAGTACATTACTTTGGTGGTAAAATTTTTTTTTTTAATTTAAAAAAATTAAAAACTTCAAATCATGTGTCCCACAATTATTGGCACCCCTGATGTTAATACTTTGTACAACCCCCTTTTGCCAACAAGACAGCACTTAATCTCCTCCTATAACATTTCACAAGATTGGAGAACACAGAGAGAGGGATCTTTGACCATTCTTCTATCTATCTATCTATCTATCTATCTATCTATCTATCTATCTATCTATCTATGCATATATTTTTAAGAAAAATGTGTTATTAATATATCAAATATTTATATTTATGTATAATATTAATTTTGTATAAATATAAAGTATATACATGCAAATATTTCTTAAATATATACATGCATGTGTATTTCTATATATATATATATATATATATATATACAAAATAATTATACACTCTACACACACATATTATGTGAACACAGACTTTTATTTTAATCGCGATTAATCGTTTCACAGCCCTAGTCGCTACATCTTAACTTTAGAACAAAGATGAATAATAAAAAAAATCTGTTCAGTCATTTATACATATAAAATATCTTAGAAATGTGTATAAATATTCCTTTATACCACCATGTGTTTGAAATGCTAAGGTTTTCACTGGTGCACGAATGCACCTTCTAAGATCAAAAGATTGCCACAAAAGCATCTCAACTCTTTCAGGGCAGGACATTATAAATAATATAGCTCAGAAAATGTTTGAAAAAAAGGAAGGAGAAAAAAATTTGGACAGTTTGAGGATAGCAACAAAAACTAAAATCAAACATTGACTGAATAGGACAGAGAGGAAAACAAGTTTAGATTTTCTTGAGAGATGGGGAAGGAAATTATAATCAAAGATTTGTCTGAATGTCCATTATTCATTTTAAATCAACTTTAGTGAAACTTTTTTTTCTAATAGAAAAATCTCAAAACAGTGCAACTACATTTCAACATTTTCTGAAGAAAATTTGCACCTTGCTTGGCATTATTTTGCTATTTATTAATCAAAATAAGGATTGATAAATTAATTATACTGTCAACATATTGGAGTAAATTAAAATTAGACATTTATAATAAAAACAACTTTATGGACTTTTCATGCTCACCAATGATTAAAGCACAATAAATAGGTGAGTTTGTAAATCTTGCAAAACTGCTATAAATGGTTACAAAAACTGGCCTAAAGCATCTTATAAAATGAATAATGTGACTATCAATGACACTACAATGTCTCAAACATATCTTACCTCTAGATGAGTACCAGGCCCATACATGTCCCAGATCTTCCTTTTGCGAATGTCAGTGCCTTTTCCAGGATGCTGAAACCCAGGAGTGCAAGACTAACTTAGGCCTCGGTCAGTTTAATCAAAACATAACAGAGAACGTCACAGTAACTGTGAATAATTCCCTGAGAGGGAAGGAGTCAAATTTCAAATCCCTAGTTTAATTAAACGCCACAGAACATAGATGGGTGTATGATTGATTTTAATACTGGATTAATATTAACAAATTAAAAGTGTTTCACTAGGGGAGTTGCGTGCGTGATTTACAGGAATGAGATATGTTCCATAGTGTAGTAATTCAACACTGTAGATGTATTAGTTAACCTACCCCTTCGTTGTTTAAAATGTGAACCAGGAGGCCATTTCCACAGCCGAGATCCACAAAGGACTGTTTGGTTGTTGTTCCGTTTTCAGCACGCTCTTCACCCCACAAGACCTGCATCGGTGACCAAGGGATACTGTTTTTTTTTTCAGATGTTCATGACAACATTTTAGGGCGGTCACGATAAATTTGAGTACTTGATTTAAAAAAAAATCCTAGATTGCCAGTTTACCTATGTCAAGTAACCGGCAAAATACCGGAAGTGGCACATTCCAAAGACAAGAATCCATGAACCGCATTATTATACAATTTTATAAAAATGCACAATGTATTAACACCATTTAAAAAGCAAATTAAAATACTATTGTGCTTTTGTGAATTCACAAAGGTTGCGATTCAATTAAAGGGGTCATGAACTGGCTTTTAAAATTTTATTATATTGTTGTCTGAGGTCAACTTATAACGTTCGCTTGGTTTTTGCATTCAAAAACATCAAAATGAAAAAGTAATCGGCTATTTTGTACCCAAGTTGTGAGCCTTCCTGAAAAACGGTCGGTTTTTATGGGCGTGTCGCACTGAAGACTTGGAAATAAACGCCCACTGCTGTGAGTGGATAACAGTTTTGCATATTATAATGAGTTTAACTCACTCGTTGGTGTACGTGGGGGAAAACGTCCAATGTTGTCAAATGGCAACCGGATTCGCCAATACATGTTCAACCAAGAGTCCGTGTGTTGCACAATTCCTGTCAGATCCAATATAGACAGCACAGCACCGTTCTTTACTCTTAATCGGTCTGCAAATCCAGTCTTGTTTACAAAACATTCCTCAGTGAAATGAAGCGAACAGACGACGATGTTTCACCCTCATCAGCTGGAACGTCATTAAAAAAATTATGTTTATCCATGCAGTCCTATTGGGATCCAGCTTATGCAGCGACTGTCTTCTTCCACAACCAGGCACTGCACAATATTCTGTATTGCTCGGTTCATCACGAGGTAGGCATACTGTTAGGCTACTTGGCTATGTGTGTAATGCGCGAATCGGTGGGCGGGGCTAAACCAGCCGTGTTGAAGTAGGTGTTGATCTTCTTCTGCGGGGATGGTGTTTTAACCCCTTCGACGTCATAGTTTCCCACTTTTAAAAACGAGTCGTTTTCAGAGGCTGGTGTCAATAAAAGCTTTTATTGGACTAACAAGGACGTTTTTAGTTCTGAAACTTACAGGATATTCTTATAATATGATGACCTCTTTGATGTCAAAAGCTCAAGGAAAATTAGATTTCTCAGTTCATCACCCCTTTAAATAAACATATGCCCTGTAATATATGCAGTTTAATAATTTACATGCGTGTAGGTTACGTGCGTTTCATAGCGAGTGTCAAACTCCATATCTGCATATGTTGAGTATGTGTTTCTTATAACGTTCATTTGGGAACGCAATGTGTGCTATTTCATCAGATTTGTAAAGTAAATAATTTATAAACATACAGCAACACAGGACTGACAGGAGAATACATCAATATGTTTCTAAACATGTGAACTGTTAATAGCTATTTCAAAATAAAAGTTTAAACTCTCGCTTTGCATGTTTTGATGTCCAGATATTCTTGTTCAAGAAATTAAAGTGACTGTAGCATTTCTATCAAAGTGGTCAAATATTAAAGATTAAGTTAACATTTTAATTAATGTAATTTGGCAAATATTAACCAAGGATTTGATCTTCTGTAAAGTGGGACAACAACATCACCAGGCTGTTGGAGACCTCTGTAGGCACTTTTAATACATAATGTACATAAGTTGATTGTTTAAATTATATATATAATATTATGAATTTTAACAGTGTTGTTCTATAAAAACATACAATTACTTGCTTTTGGTACTTATTTGAACATAAAATTATTTATTAAAAATTAATTATTAATTAATTAAATTGCTATTATACAGTATATGTATTTTAAGTAATTTTGAAAGCTATAGTTTGCTTAGGTCTACTTTTATTACCACAAAAAAAAATATATATATATATATCCGGTTACTCAAAATAGTCGACCAATTACTCGATTGCCAAAATAATCTATTGTTACAGCCTTACTCCATTTATTTAACAAGCACGGTATACATTTTTAAAGCTTTCTATATAAAGTCTCTTATGCATAAACTGCCAGTTATTAATATCTTAATGATATGGTCCTATGTATTCACTTATTATTGAGTTGAAATTAAATCAGATATAAATGAGATAATTTTCCAAATAAACAATGAATAGTCATCCAACCTACCAACAAATAGGTAGCAATGGCAACATCTTCAAACACAAACTTCTCTGGATCAGTAACTTCAGGCCAGACCTGAAAAATTAAAAGCTTTCTATTATTTGTCGACATTGCATAAATGTAATACTCAACATCTGAGCAAAACCCAACACATATTAAGGATAGTATATGAGACTAAAATCCTGACACAGTAATGATGGCCATCACAATAAACAATAGATAGCACTACATGCACCACCAATGCATGTAATACAAACTACTCTTGATTTTTAAAGGGATTGGTTTTCACTGTGTATTGAAAGAGATTTTTTAACATGGCATGGGCAACAAGAAACACAATTTTTTAAAAATAATCTTCTGTAATACTAAATATTTAGGTAGTTAAAGGATAAGTGTAACATGTTTGCAAAGAATGTTTCCTGAATACTCCACATCGTCTATTAGTTGGACAAACAGATCAGATCATCTCACCCAAAAAGTGGTCACACTGCTTTAATTAAGAAGCACAGAAGGGTTGTTTTTTTCTTCTTCTTCTTTTTTGATCCATAATCCATTTTCACACTTCAAAAATTGTTTTCTTTACAGTTTAAGTTTTGAAAGAAGAAAATATTTTTATATTTTAAAACATGGGCTCCATGTTATTTTATTTTTACATGGAGATTGGTACATCTATTAGTAAAATCTATTGACTTCTTTGTTGCATTATATGACAACAGTGACAGTTAAAAAATTCGCTTATTGTGTTTTTTACCCCAAGTTTTCATGCATAACTCAAGTAGTATTAAAGATATCTTAATATACTTTTAGATTTTGCTTTTTATCAAACAATTATTCTGATCTCTTCATTTTAAATGCCTTATATTGTTAAAAATAGGATATATGAAGATCTTAATGCAGTTCCATGAATAAATTGGTAAATAATTTTCAGTGGCCAAAAAACAAAATGTTGGTCCCTTTCCATACAGCTGATATTTTTATCTTTTAAAGAGGAATACCCGAACAATAAATAATGTTGAAACTAGAATATATCTTGTCTATTTCTATCTACACAACTGTCTGAGTGCCATAAATATTCTTTTTCCAAAGTTTGTGAGACTGTCACTCAAAATGTCTCTATTTTAGATTTAATCAATGATTTTAGATTCTGGTTCTTAAATTTTCAAGGCCCTATATGATTTAATTCCATAGGCATGGGGATCTCAATATGGCTCCAAGTTCAATTTGTTGGATTTTTCCCCTTTTCAATGGTCAAAAACCAAATGTGGTTCACTTTGCACACAGCTAATACTTATTGCATTTAAAGGGGAATGTCTGAAGAAATGTTGAAACTATATACATTATTTACATTTTCTAAATCATCCACTGTCTTAGATAACCAAATACCTAAATATTTAACTTTTAAATATGAATGTTTTTAACTGGGATACTGTACAATGTTATATTAGGATGAACATGACTGGCCAATACCTAATATTTTGACCTATTTAAAATTAAACTATTTAGAATTATGAAGAAAAAAAAACTTCATTAACTGAAGTGTTGGGGTATTTGCTGTTCAGTTCTTAGAAAACGAGTAGTTTCATCAGCAAATTTACCGACAATAAAATTATTCCAGTTTTCAATCTAGAAGCCAGTGCTTTAGTAAACATTTTGTAATCCGTATTTAGTAGTGTTGTGGGGAGTAGGTTAATAACCGCTTATCTTTTCCTGGCTCGTAAGTTGATTTTTCTTAATATCCAGTTCTCCTGTTGCTCTGTTTATTGTTAAGTAAGTAGGGCTATTTTCGATTCTTTGCTTATTTATAATTTTTATCTTTACTAAATATCTGTTTTTTAATTAGATGCATTCCTATTTTGAATTTATGATCAAAGTATTGATCATATTTATGCCGCGCTCTTAAAGGGTTATAGTTTGTATTTTATTGCAGCACTTAAGTAGCACTGTTCAACAGCCAGTTTCAGCTCATTTCGGTTTCGCCCATTCTCATGATATTTGCTTTTGCTGTGCTAATTGCAAGGTTGGCCACAGCTCTCAGTCGCACGTTACTACCTCCAACCCCTGGTTATCTGAGGTTCTTCGTGAACACCGGACTGAACTCAGCAGAGAGGAAATGGCGCAAATCAAAAGTTACATCTGACCTCAGTACGTATCAATCTCTGCTCTCTGCCTTTTCTACTGATGATCATGCTGCGAAATCTTCATATTTCCACAACAAGATCAACAGTGCCTCTAACACACGTTCACCGTTCAAGACATTCAACACTCACCTCTGTCCACCTCCACCACCTCCTT